TCCAGTATCATCTCTATAAAATTCTCATTGAGTACCTGTAGTATTTCTTCTTTTAGATTATTCTTGTGGGCTTCATTCGGTTCTTTTGCATAGTTTATCTTCGTTTTGTTGGAGTCTGGATCTGAGTATCTGTTTTCTTCATTTCCCTCTAGTTTTACCTAGAGGTAAAACTCTACCTAATAATACTCTAGCTCTACCTCCTGGTAGAGCTTCATTTCCTTCATTTCCCTCTAGTTCCTGTTTTTGCTGTGGGGAAACTTGTTTCCCTGTTTTTTCTGTCTTCCCGTCATTGCCCTTGGTGTTGTTATTCTCCCTGTATTGTGTGCAATTAAGTATTTTCTAGCTTGTAATTATAACAATGGTAATATTTAGAATGGAAGGGTGAGAGGAGTTGGAAAACAAAGAAGTTAAAGAAAAATGGAAAAACAAATAAACAAACAAGTAGAAAAAACAAAACAAAGAAACAAAAAAGTTTCAAGGATATAAACAGAGAGGGATAGTGTACTAATCAACAGTAAGCTGAACAGGAATTAGAGAGACAGAGAGAGGATTGACAAAATATATGTATAAATGAAAAAAAATCATTAAAAAAAAATCTCCCAGTTCAAATGCAATAAAGTTTCAGTCTTAATAATTTTGGTGTTAGTCCCTCAGCCTCCAATCCTGGAGATGGTGTCTCAGAAGTAGTTCTGCCATTGTCTCATCAAAGGGGAAAAAAATGAAACCAAACCAACAAAACAAAACAACACAAAACAAAAAAAACCCCACAAAGTGTCCCTAGTTAAATGCCATACAGTTTCAATAAGTTTTTCAGCATGCAGGTGTAGTTCAGTTGTTGTCTCATCAAAGGAAGAAAGTAAAAAAAAAGAGTCTGGAGACAGTTCTGTGAATATCTGAGGCTGTGGCTCACCTGCCTACTGCTGTCAGCCTGCTGTTGCTGGAGGCTTTATTGATTGCAGATCTCAGGAGTGAGCTTAACACTCACCTGGCCCCTCAGGCTTTGTTTACTTAGAGTTCTCCTGGGCACAACCGCCACTGCTAAAATATTTCCCCTTTCCAAGCACACTGGGGGAGGTGACAATGCAGCAGCTTTCTCCGGCCAACTTGTTTATTTACAGCTCATGTGGGAAGTGGGTCTTCCCCTCTCTCCAGTAGAGTTTTCCTTCCACTGCCACTTTTACAAACTTTCCTGGTCCTGGTTGCTGGGTGTGTGCCGCTGCTCCTGCCTTCTCCAGCCAGCTTGTTGTGAGGGATTTCCCCTCCTCCCTCTTCAGTGCTCAGGGAGCCCTGCCCTCTTTGCTATATGTCTTTTTTGTTGTTATTGCTTATTATTCAGTTTTTTTTTTTCTTTTTTTCCCTGGCCGGGGGTTGGTCTGTCCAGGGGGCTATGCTGATTTGGCCCAGGGTTGTCTGTGGGAGTACCACGTACCGCTTAGCTCACCTTGTGGTCTGCATCTTCCCAAGTGGTCTGGGTGATGGCGTCTGGCGGCAGCCTGAGAGCCCTCCTGGTTTCTCTGTTTAATGTGAAGTGGAGATGCTCTGCACAGGCTGGAGGTGTGGAGGAGTCAAAGTTTTGCCTCTTCTCGGTGGTTTTTCCTGTAAGGTGTATCTCCAGCGTCTCTCCAAGATTTTACTTTAGGAGGCACACTTTCTGCTTCCTCCCTCTAGCTGCCATCTTGGAATCTCCCTAATTGTTCATTTTTACAGAAAAAAAGTACAGCCAACTTTAGGGACAATTCTGTAGACTCTCAGGAGTTTAATTTTGAAAACAACCCTGTAATCGATGTTGAAAAGCAAAATAAAACAAAACCACCTTTTTGTTTGCTTATTTGTTGGGTTTATTGGAACTTCTGTTCTATAGCTGAAAATATGTAAATTATTGCCACGTTATTAAAAATAGTAAGTAAGGCAATGAATGTGACAGGAGAAGAGAAGTCTGCTAATAGCAATTTTAATTTTCATTTGTAAATGTTTTTAATCAGCATGGGGTTTTGACCTGCTCTGTTTCTTAGCTGGACCAGTTCACCCCTCCTTAGGCAATCTGGTGGCCCCTGCTCCCGGGAGGTCACCATATTGATGGTGGACTTCCTTGGACACCCAATCGGCATAGTGCATTGCAGCTCACAACTCCTGAACTCAAGCAATCCTCCTGCCTCAGCCTCCCAAGTAGCTAGGACTACAGGCGTATGCTAACATGCCTGGCATAAATATTTTTGAGTAGCAGAAATGTTATAGAATGAATAAACTTGAAAGATTGATATTGATAATAGTATTTATTTCATGATATTTAACTCAATTGTTGAGATGAGATAGTCACCAAATCTCTGACTACTTACAACTTGGTCAGTCTGCTTATAACTAAGAAAGAAAGTATCAAAGCTTTTTCTAAGTTTAAATACATAATATAAAAATAGCTTTTATTACACAATGCCCTTTTGAGTAAAAATGGTGGTAATGAGATTTAAAAGTAGGTACAATTTATTTTACTCAAGTTTAAGCTTAGTTTTATCTTTTTTTTCATTTTTAGTAGAAAAGACTTAAGTTGTTTAATCACTAACGAATTTATTCCTCCTACCTAGCAAAAAATTCATTATTATTAAAAAATTATATAATAATAATTCAATAAGGTCAATTTCCCACCATGTCCATGCCACAGGAAATGTCAAAATTACTAAGAAGTTCTCATATATTCCATTTTGTCTAGAAATAGAAAATGTGTATTTGAGTTTTAGACAAATATAAGAGAAAAATTGCAGTATGGGATAAAAAGAAAAGCAAGTGTATCACATCTTCATGGTAGAAATAGATGCTGTGTGATGCAGAGTGGCATATAGATTTATATGTTGCATGACATGCTTGGCATGAATACATATTGATAGATTTGTATTATATATTATGACAGACTTATATACTGTGGTATATGTTAACATACCATACACATATGCTTTTTCTTGTCTCTGTACTTATGTTTTGCTGAATTAGGTGTAGTAATTTGATGCCAACTTGTTCTAAATGGCTTCAAAACAAATAAGTCAAGGAACAAACAAATCTTGGCAAGACAGGCATATTTTGGTAAGGTTTATCTTTTGGAGAAAATTCTATTATTTGAGCTATCATAATTTTATTCATGTGGAGATGCAAAATCCTGGGAGCTGTTCAGTAAAAATAAAGAACTAGCTTGTGCTCTGCTTTGAGAGATAGTTCAGGTTGTCACCTCAGATTCATAAGGCATTTTAAGATTCTTGTGATACATTATGTTTGACTGCAAAAGGCATGAAAGGCAAGGAAAGTTATATAGTTTTGTTTTAGTATACTTTTAAGAAAAATTGACTACATATTTATATTAATAAAAGATGCATCTGCTTTGATGGAACTTTGATGTACATTTTGAAGATGCTTTTGATTTAGTATTTTTGAGATCATCTTTCACATGAAGCCATGACTGTTCAATATTGACCTTGTTGACACCAAGCAAAGATATAATTAGATTGTTATTGGAAGTGGGTGTTTGATATTTCAGCTTTTGTTTTTGTATTTTTATGTTTCTATTCATCATATTTGTCATTTTGATTCATAATTGATTTGGATTTTTCTCATATCAGTTCTGATACAAATGTGAGAATACCCATCCTATTTTTTATAACTGCATACATAAGTCAATAAAATGTTCCCATCAAATATATACACTAAACTGTGACTAACAAGAAATGGACAATCATCCATTTCTCAACTTTTCCCAACTTGCCTCCTGGACAATGAATTGTCTCATTGGTTCTATTGAGCAAAGCTTTAATATGCAAAATTAGGGATTTGGTAAACATCAGTCAGGTAACTTGCATTACAAGTCACACATTTACATTATACCAAAAAATCATATTAACAAATAATCACATAACTGATAATGACTTGTTATGAAGAGTAATGTGAAGTTGGCATATACTTTTATATTTTAAGGTTTATATTTTTATTTTTAGGCAATGATGAATGTTATATACTTCAATTTAAATAAACATTTCCTTAGAGATGGCAGTGAAAAAGAAAACATAGCCCTACCTAATGGATTCTATATTAAAATATATCCATATATACACATCAATCAAAATTCAAGTTGAAATACTATTGTGTCCTCCAAGCTATTTTCAATTTAAAAGTCTTTATCCTGGCTGCAGATGTAGTTCAGTGTGAAGCTTTGGGTTCAATTCCCAGTGCCACCTTCCCGCCAAAAAACCTTTTGGAACTATTTAAATTATTATATCATAAAGAAGAGATTTGTAGTGTGTATAATATTGCCTACATCAGAATCAATTTTATATCAAAACTGACTGCTTATATACTAATATTCAGAAGTTTTTTTCAGAGGAAATTGGTGGTCTAGTGGTTGAAGAGAGTAACTTTCCTAGCTAAAGAATAATCTACTCTTAATTCTCTTTGATTTTGTGGACATTCATTCCATATGTATTATCTTACCTATGGACCAATCCTTACTCAGGAACTCATATGTGCTAAATAAATTGATATTTTATTCTACTTGTTTACTTTGTGTTAGTTAAAGAGAGCGTCACAGTTCTTTAGCATAACATAAGCCAATCATTCCAGAATGCCATCATAGTCTTCTAGGGCCCTTCCAATAAAAAGCTAACCTCAAAATTAATCAATGTAAGATTTTCCCTGCAATCATTTCATTTGGTGCTGAACATATAAAGGTATACAATAAATGAATTGCTTTCTGATCTGTAATGTGATGTAGCTTAGTGAACTATAACTTGGATTAGCAAACATTAGCATAACTTATAAGTAAAAATGAGAAACAGATCCTATATTTTGATATCCACCATAAATTTTCTCTGCTATACATAAAAATTTCAATGAGAAAATTTCAATGTAGGAATGTCAAGAGTCTTCTTTTGCTTTCTTCTGATTGGCCTTTAAGGATCTCTATTTTGCCACTGTTCAAATTATATTGTTAATATGCTTATGTTAGAATTTTATTTCCAATCTAGGAGTCACTATATGGGAACTGATGACCTTTGGAGGAAAACCTTATGATGGAATTCCAACCAGAGAAATCCCCGATTTATTAGAGAAAGGAGAACGTTTGCCTCAGCCTCCCATCTGTACTATTGACGTTTACATGGTCATGGTCAAATGTAAGATCACAAAATAATTTTATCACCATCGTCCAGTTCTTGATCCTCCTGCCTCTGCTTCCCAAGAGACTGTAATACAGGCAGGAACTACCATGCCTGCTGCCATCATCATTCTTAAGAAAATAATAGCTTAGGATTATTCTGCCTGTATGATGCTTCTCTATATTGAAAAACATAGCAGTTCAAAGATAATGATGAATGCAGCATGTGAATACTTGTGTTTGTTGTAATTATTATCAATATAAAGTAATATTATGCTTCTGTGCTGTGAAGTCAAACTATATAATTTTTACTCTTGTAATTTTTATAATAGTCACATTGTCTGTCATAAAGAGAAATAATCACAACAATTTAGCAATAATTTTTTTAGGAATTTTTACAGGAAAATATCAAATTAAGTAAATTATCTAAACCTAAAAACAGAAAGCTTGATACTGATAGCATAGAAATGAATAAAATGGAAATAGGTTTAGCAGTTTTAGCTAAAGGTAAATTATCAGGGCAGTTGAGAAAATGGAAGAAATGAACCTACACTGAATTAAAAGGATGATGAATGTTTACTTTTTTCAATTTGGTCATTCATTTACATTAAACTCCCTTACTTTTCTTTCTTCTTCCTATGCCTCAAATACATGTGTATTACAAATTTATTTTGCAAGCCTAGATCTTTAATTTAAATAGAATTAGGGAAGTCTCTGGGGTTTGTGACTTAATTTAAGTGAGATTAACATGCAGCAATTTCTCTTGTATAATCTGAGGTTTTCCCATTTTGATTTACGCAGGGTTGGGAAAGAAACAAACTTGTGAAGGTGAATAAGCATCTTATTAATAAGAGACTTTGGGCCCAGGTCTACTCAGATTTATATTCATGACGTGTGATACATTCTGACAGTAAGGGAAAAAGAGAAAATGTTCTTTTGCAGTTCAGGTCAGCATGCCCTTTTCTCTAAGCATAGTTCTGTTTACTCAATATTTAGTTAGAGAGAAACAAATACCTCAGTGCGAAGTTAACCTTTTTTGGCTGCAATAGTTGGAGAAACACCTATTTTCTCATTAGCATCTTGGCAGTAACAAGCATTGTTTTTTTAATGAATACATATAGAATGTGGTATATTTCAGCTTAGTTAGGACAGAAAAGTAGATGACATAAAAGATATCTAGAATGATATCCAAAGAATTCCTAGAATAGGAATAAAAATTAATTCCCAGAAAAGGAAAACACATTTGTTTGGTAGATGTTTAAAAACATGCATGTATTATATCATAATTTGATCCTATGACCAGCAGAGGAAAAGATTTGGATAACTCTGATAAAATGATGTAAAACCACACAAACATTTTGCCTTATTATGTAAACTATATTGAGAACTTTACTTTTTATTCTCCTACAGTTTATATACTTTAGAAGAGGATCATTTGGAAGGAAATCAATGAAAGCTTGGTGCTTTTATTCTTGTCCTCTCCTCAGCTAAACAGAATCTAGGGAGATAAGATCCACTGTATCTAGATTCCCAGATAAATAACAATACCTATGTTGAAAACCGCTGATAATATTTTTGTGCTGGAAAAGCTACTACTGAGATAAGCTAAAGGCTATTGCTAAACAAACACTACCAGTCATTTTACATTCATTAATTTTTTTTTAAGCCAGGAAAAGATGGTATGAGAAAGTTATTGTCAATTCCTTTGCTCTTTGTGACAGTGAATGTGATCATAATCAAATCTCCTCTTACATGTCACTTCTGGCAGAAAATGACAAATTATACCCAATCAACTCATCTATAAACATCAAAAATAGGGTTTCTGGCAGGATTCGGTCTTGAACTTTGGGCCTTATACTTGCTAGATAGGTCCTCTACTGCCACTTGAGCCACACAACCAACCCTTTTAAGTTTTAGTTATTTTTCAGATAGGGTCTTACATTCTCACCCAGGGCTGGGCTTGGACTACAACATTCTTGATCTCTGCTTCCAGAGTAGCTGGGATAACAGGTGTGAGTCACCAGCACACAGATGAAAGAAAGTTTAAAACAAATTATCTCTACTCCTCAAAATAACAAGAAGATCTGAGGTTCCATAAGTTCTTATAGTTAGCCTGAGTTCTATTTTCTAGGAAGAAAAGTAAATTTTAAATCAGATCAATAAAATAAAAGTTGTACCTGTTATTTTATAGCACATTACATTTAATTATGAATATCAGTAAATTATTAACTTCAAACCTTTATTGAATTGGTTTTTTCACTAACTTTGTTTCAAAGATCATTATTATTAAACTGGTATTTTTCATGTGTTAGCCTATACTTCCACAAAATTTACATTTCACTTCCTCTTCCTATTTATGGGAATACTGACACTTTTATTGTGCATAAATTTCCAGGTTGGATGATTGATGCAGACAGTAGACCTAAATTCAAGGAACTTGCTGCTGAGTTTTCAAGAATGGCTCGAGACCCTCAAAGATATCTAGTTATTCAGGTTAGTACACTTGACTTTGCTTTTAAGACTATCCAGATAGCAAACTCATTACTACCAAATATGAATTTCTAGACCAGAATTGTGGAAGTGACTGACTAACTTAATGACCAAGCAGATTAGCATGAGAAAAAACTTCTGCAAAAGAATGTTTTCCTTCATGTCAGAACCACCTCTAAGTTTCTTGCCTTTGTACTCAAATGACTCTACTGGTGAGCAGACAGATAATTATGGTTACCCCAGTACTTGAAAAGGTCTTTATCCTCAGACAAGTTTTTCTAGACTCTGCTTTTTATTAGCATTGTGGTTAAGACATGTTCATTATTGTAAAATTTCCTTTTCAAAATCAAAGGAAAGTAGATTTTTGTTTCAAGCTTACCCACACTTGTAAAAAATTAATCAAACGTTTCAGTATATTAGCATTTAATTTCTTAGGAAAATATTTTAGAACCTGTTTTGTTTTATTTGGGGATGCATGCAGTATCCAAGCAATAACTGGATTCAAGTGAATTGATGTGCATATGAGTTAAACAGGGCAAAAGAATATTTTATATTTAGCACTAGAAAATGGAATGGATATTTTAAGAATTATAATAATTTCTCTGTGATTATTTTCAACTGAAGCATAAGCAGATGTACCTTGGGTACACTGAATTATCTTTCCTATTAAAACAAGGTACCAATTATCTTAATATGAATAGTCTGACATGAAGACAAAAGGTAGGTTTTAGAAGATAGTGATCTCCAGGTATTTTCTCCAAAATTAACTTTCACAAGCAGAAATTGTTTACCAAAAAAATCAAATAACTTTGAATAATAAAAATATCTAAGAAGTAAATAAGATGAGGAAGAAAATAGCAAGGGTTTTTGTTTCTTCCCCAAACCCACTCATTGTCTTTGCCACTTTTGCCATGATTTCAAAAGCCACCACTTGGACAATGTAGCCATTATAGTACAGAACAAATCATGGAGCATCTGTGTTCTGATAACTCTACAGCATCAAACCAACCACATTAAATAAAGACTGATAAATTGATTGCCCTTCATTATTTATTTGTAAAGTCACAATCCACACACCATCTTGACAATGAACCATTATTCTCAGGTCTGAAATGGATTTTGCCACCCTTAAAGCATCTATAGCATCCATCCTTTCTAATAGCATTTATCAAGTTTTTCTTCCATTAAATTTTTTAATCTTTTCCTGTCACATCTAAACATATTGTAGGCTTCTTTATGGCTGGTAGTTGTGGTAAAGAATTATTTTTTGAAATGAATGCATGAATTTTTCAACCATTTGTTCTGCTCATACATAAATTTGCTGCTGAGACCACATATTTAAGATGAAAGGAAGAATCACTTTGGATGTTTCTGATGGGCAATCTTTCAGGGTGATGATCGCATGAAGCTTCCTAGTCCAAATGACAGCAAGTTCTTTCAGAATCTCTTGGATGAGGAAGATTTGGTAGATATGATGGATGCTGAAGAATACTTGGTTCCCCAGGCTTTCAACATCCCTCCTCCCATCTACACCTCCAGAGCAAGAATTGATTCAAATAGGGTAAGAAATATTTATATACAAATGCTATATTATTTCTTAGTAATAACATCATATCAACAAATTGTTAGCACTAAGTTTCAAAATAACTGTATGGCTAAAATCATTGTGATATCTAGATTAAAATACACAAAAGATTTTCAAAACTTGACACTTAGTTAATTTTAGAAGACAAGCATAAACAATACAATATGCACTATGAAATATCTTCAGAATTTCAAAAGAAGAAATATTTTCCTCATCCTACATTAGTTGAAACAAATCTTAACTTTTTAAAACCAATTCAAACTGATGAAACTGTATGTGTGTAAAAATAATAAAAATTCTGACTGGGAACCCATTCCTATAAACCTAACTACTTGGAAGCTGAGATCAACAGGCTTGCAGTTCCAGGCCAGCCCTGGAAAAATGTTCATGAGACCTCATTTCAGCAGACAAAAGCTGGGTATGGTGGTGAGTGCTTCTCATCCCAGGTAAAGTGGGAAGCATAACACAGGAGGATCACAGCCCTGACCCACCTGGGCAAAAAAGCAAGACCCTACGTCCAAAATAATCAGATCAAAAGTGGTCAAGTGGTAGATTGCCTGCCTAGCAAGATCCAAGTCCTGAGTTCAAACATCAGTACCATCAAAACTTAATTTAAAAAATAATGAAAATGCTTAGCAAAAGGCTTTCTACTGTATTACAAACATTAAATATTTTCTGTCAACTTGAAATAAAAACAGAAAATTGTGAAATCCTAAGAAGTAAATCAGTCATATTAAGAGGACTACTGAATCTTTTCCAAGTCATAGATCTAAATAGGAAGAAGCTTCTGAAAAGAATTTATATTTCATTTTATTTATGAAATCCACTCTAAGTGAATGCTATTCTCTACAGGCTGTCAAATCCATGTGAGTTTTTTTGTTTATTTTTAAAAATTTATTATCATTCATTCAACATGTATTAAGTACCTCTGCATGTAAAACATTAGTACATATTTGAAATTCAAAGAATTCCAATATAACTCTTGATTTCAAGAAGTATTCAGGATAGTGAAAGAGCCACACAGATATAGTCAGAGCACAGCATGATAAGTGCCTTAATTGAGTGTTCATGGGCCATAATGGAGCACGGAGACACAAAAGATTTATGTCTGTAATCAGTTTCTTCCACTGATAAGACATAAACATGATACTAAGTTTTTTCTAGGAAGCACTTCTTCCTCTTAGTCTCCCCTTCACCTTAAGACATTTTCCAACCTATTAGAACAGCATCCCATTTCTCTTGACCATAGGCCTAAGAATATTTTCAAATTGCTGCTCATTCTCTAAAATGAAATTATTTGTTTTACTTCAGATTGACCACAATAATGAAGCAATAATATTCACCTAGTGTTTACTATTCAACACATATATGTCAACTTACTTAATCCCTTCAACAACCCCATGAGATTCTATTGCTATTACCCTTATCTTACAAATGAGAGACTTGCCACAGAAAACTTAGAAGATTTGACTGCTGTCACACAGCTAGCCAGTAGAAGGCCAAGATTCTAACATATGCAGTCTGTCTCATCTACACTGCAGTTTGGCTTCAGAGTTATAGGTTTCCATGTTATTTCCATGACAGGATTGCTTTTCTTGGTGTCAACCTCAGCCTCTGGGACTTCTCTTATGAGAGAAATTCCCCAGATGATTTTACATTTTATAAAATGCATCCTTCAACTTGTTGAGCCTGTTTAAACTTCTACCTTCTAAAAGTTCTGATACAGAAACAGGCAAAACTGGAAACCTCAGTTAATTACAATTTATAGTTTCCCACTTTTCTGCCTACTAATAAGCAATGGTATTTATAAATTTTCTTTTTTTCTTCTGTCTTTGCTTCCTATCTCTTAGGAAGAGTATATAAAGAAGTTGAAAAATGGATAAATGTAGACAGAAGTGAAAGATGGGAAAAAATAAAGGAGTTCAATATCTCAAATATTTGATACATTTCCAAATTATCAAGTGTAAGGTGAATATTTTCACTGCTAAGAAAATGTGATTCGCTGTGGTTTATTTATGCCAATAGCACTTTGCCCTCAGATTAGATTCTCTAACTTTAATAAAGGTATCTCAATAAGGGATACACAATAATTACCTTTAAGATTTTTATGAATTTTACCCCTCACTCCTTAAAAACAGAAAGAAATAGAAGTAAACCATTGGTCTTCCCAAAGGATTTCTGATATTGTGGTGTATTGGCTTCCCAATGATATATGCTATAGTACACATTCAAACAAAATGGTAGTGCAAAAGCAATAATGTAATTCTCAATAGTGACATTTGAAAGTACAAGGGTTGCACTTATCTTTATATTTCAATAAATCATAATCACAGCCTCTTATTTTATGAAATAATAAAATAGCCATAGTAATATCAGCTGAAACTTATTGAGTACTTACTATAACCTAGATACTATGTAAGTACTTTAAAGTAACTTTAACACTTTCATTTTACAAAGTCCTGTGATATAGGTACTGCTAGTCCCATTTTAATAGTTAAGAAAATTGAGGGGTGATTCTCTCCAAATTTTATTTGTTGGATGGGAGTAAATAACAGTTTATTTAGAAAATATTGTCATTGTTATGAGACAGAGTCTCAGTGTGTATCCAGGTTGGTTTCCAATTCTAAATTCTTCTGCATCAGACTCCTGAGTGCTGGGATTATAGACATACACCACCATGCCCAGAGAGAGCATGTCTAAAGTGACTCAAATCACCCCCGTGATAATCCTGTATAGTGACTAATGGTGCTAAAATGAAATATCTGGAAATTTTTCTAAAAAAAATGATAAGAGATATTTCAATATTCCTACATGGAGGCCATATTCCTAGGACTACAGAAGTCTGGAGGAGGGAGGTTACTAATTTTAAGCTGCTATTAACTTCCTGTAACTGATGAAACTAATACTTTCCATTCACTAATACTAATACTAATACTAATACTAATACTAATAAGGATACTAACAGAGATAAAAGAAACTAAATATGAAGTCAGAATCACATTCTGGAACCAACTCAGTGACACTTCACGTTTGGTCATATCACTTAATCAGGTTCATTATCTTCGATGACAATAATGAATTTGATTATTTATAAGCTCCTTCCAACTTTAAAAATACATTATCACAAAGTGACTTCATAAAGCCATATTTTCTCCATTTCTACATGTTTTCTAATGACTATTCAATTGGAAAATGATGAAAAGCTTTTGAGTCACCACTATATACAACTATTTTCCTTATATAATTAAATATTTTTTATTTTCTATAGAAAAGAACAATCCTACAGATACAAGTTAAGAAAGCATCTCACAGCTAGGTAATGCAGTGGGAGAAGTTTGTGATGATATAACAGGGTTACTCTTGTTGTAATTTACCAAGGATCAACATCAATTCTAACAATGGCTACAACTTGATGATAAATGATTATAGTCTTGGGGTATTGGTTTTACATTTGGTCCAAAATATATCATGGTTTCCTGCATTTTATCATTAACACGGTGCTTGAGTATTTTGTTTTTGATCTGTTAAGTCAAAAGAAGGGGCTCTTATTGCATTTTATATCACTCGCTAGTTTTTGTCTCAGGGTAGTCTCTATCTAACTAGAAATTCTTTAAATTGTTCAATATATAACAATATATTTGAATATTTGTTATTGACTAGGCATAACAAATGGGCAGTGAGGATAGAGTTAGAAAATGAGCTCTGTCTTTGGATAGTTATATTCTAGTTGGGGAGAAAATGTTCTGAGAAAAGAATACCAGATATTATAAGAAAAAGACAAAGGAAAACAAAACAGCCTAACAGTTTAAAAAAAGTCACTAGCAATATCTTTGTTGGGGGGAGGATCAGGCTTGGAACAGTTTGATGGTACAGACCTGAAGTGGGTCATAAGGAAAGCAAAACTATACAAAACCAAACAAGATCCCAACATGATAAAAGTAAAGAGATATGTTTTCAGTTATTTTAAAAATTCTAGTTTTGGTAGTATTCCTATATTGCACAGACTTGAGAACTTTTAGTTTATAAGAGGGGGGAAAGTAGCATTCTCCCCACTTTCCTATGGTTTTCCTTTTCTTTTTTGTTAGTGTTATGCAGTCTTGAAATGTGGTTTTGAAATCTTTTGCTCCTCTTTAAATGATTCAATTTTTTTAAGTCCTTTTTTTGGGCCTTCCTAAAAAAAGCTCTCAATTTTTATTTTCTATTTGTACTGTCACAACTCTAATTCAGGTCCTCACCACTTCACAGACATTACTACCAATTTATTTACTTTCTTTTTTCCCCCAGCCTCTTCTACACACTCAGCCAATGATAACAGCATCTTACATTTGTGAACATCTTTGCTGTTTTTAAAATACAAGCATTTACATTGTACCCATACTGTTAATCAATAATCTCAGTACCCGATTACTTATTGGTACCAGTTGCATTCATTTTGATGTTTTCATTTTTTAGAGTACACTTTTCTATTCTTTTCATCAATGGGATAAACTTGAATGATCTATGTTTTATTAGATCTCTCTTTATGTGATATATAATCCTATTGTCACCAACAGTTGAATGGCTTTTGAACATTTATCCTAGGAAATGCCTTGGTCATTCCAGTTGACCAGTCACTTTCATTTATTTTCCCTACTCTAGCTCACATGCTCAAAATTGCCTTGAGCTGCAGGCATTATCCCAGCACTGATCTCTTTCAAAATATGCATTATGTTTGTGCTTTCTGCTTTAAGTTTGGAAGTGTCGGTGATTTACTTTAACAAAAAGCTATCGCTCTTTATGTATTATAGATTTGTCTCTTTTAAAAACAAGTACCTAGTGTCAAATTGCACTCAGCCTTTCAAGTTCTTAGAAATTAGAGGTATCAAAAATGTTTTGATTGCTCTGATTTTACACTAACCAGATATTTAGATCTTAGTCTTCCCAGCCTCAAAGTTGGAGAGGAAGAAGTTGATAGTAAATAAAAAACAAAAAAAACC